GGGGCCCACGGCCACCCCGGGCCCGTGACCCCAGGCCTCTGTGTCAGCTGTGCTTGCGCCTCCCAGGGCTGGATGCGGCGCAGGACCGGCCGGGGGAAGGGCCTGGAGACACAGGCATGGCACCCGCACATCCTGTCCTGGTGGGGCGCAGGGAGCAGCGCGGGGGACAGCAGGGTGTGAGGTGGTGTCCACCAGTGGGCTCACCGGGGACTTGGGGCCCAGGCTTTCATGGTGGGATGTTCCGCAGGCACCCTGACTGGCACCTTCCAAGACTCAGGACTCCCAGCAGGAAAGCCAGAGCTCAGCACAAACCCCGCTGCTCGGTGGAGGCCCTGCAAGCCCCGCCGACTAGTCAGGAGAGGTGGGAACGCTCCAAGGCGAGGTCCCAGGCGACACCCCCCCCGCCCCCCCGCCCAGGGCACTGTCGTGGGCGCTCCGAGCGGGCGGGAGGCGGGGTCTGATGTCTCCCCTCACAGGCTGCTTTCCTGCCCTCGTGGCTCTGAGCTCGGCTGCGACGCAGCCCTTGGGCCTTCTGTCCACGGGCGGCCACGGGGTGCAGGGCTGCGGCCAGTGGGCGGGGGGCTCCTGGCAGAGGCGAAGCAGCCGGGAGCCGTCCAGGCCGCTGGCCACGGGATGGAGCAGCCTGCCGCGCTGTGGCCGAGGCGGGTGCCGGTGGGCGAGGGAGGAGGTTTGGCTTCGGCCTCAGGGAGGGGCTTCCTCGGCAGGCGGCCGGCCAGCAGGGGCTGCGGCCCCGTGAGCGTGGGCCTCCGCCCGGGACAGCCCCCGCCCCGGGCCGCAGAGGGGCTCTCAGGTCTCCCTGCGCTGTGCGCCGGCAGGCGGGGCGGGGGCGCTCGTCTGTCAAGTCTCCTCTGAGGTGCCCCTCAGGAGACTCAGTGCCCCGTCTCCTCTGAAGCGCGTAGGAAGGGCTGCCCGCCGTGGCCGGCGCTCGAGCGGGGCCCGCCCGGGGGCGGCCTCTGGGTCCTGCCTGCTGGCACGGGCCGCGCCTTCGGGGGGCGTTTCCTGACGCGTCCCTGTGTCCCTCAGCCCCTCCTGCCGCCCGGCCCGGAAGTTTCGTGTGCTGCCCCTCCTGTGGGGCCCCGCAGTGCATCGTGACGGGCGAGGCCGCGAACGCGCACTTCCTGCGAGGGGAGCCGTGTGCGTGCCCGCGCCGTGCGGCAGTTGGTCAGCGTGCAGTGTCCCCAACGCCTCGTCTCTGGCGTGTCCGCAGAGCCGTTCGGCAGAGGTTTGCTGGGCCGGGCGCCGGTGCGGCTGCAGGGGTGGGCCTGCTGGTGGACCCGGCTGCCCCGCAGGGACGTCCGGCCCGGCGTTCGTGGGCGGGCCTGCGGTCGGCTCAGAGGCGCTGCAGCAGGCCCCCGGGGCCCCCGGGCGTTCTCGTCTCCTCGCCCTCCTCGCCCTCCTCGCCCTGCCTCTGGCTCCGGCGTCTCCCTGGGGTGCCCTTTAAGGACTCCTGGCCACTGGCCAGGGCTGGGCTCAGCCTGGCCGCGCTCGGTGGGCGCGGGAGGCTGGGCCCGGCCCCGCCTGCGCCCCGCGCGCCATGGCCACGCAGGCCGCTCTCTGGGCTCCTCCCAGACGCAGGCCTCGCACTGGCTCAGCCTTGCGCGTCTCACTGTCGGTGCAGGCCGCCGGTGTCGTCCCTGTCTCGCCGCTGGGGCTCCGGGGGACCCGCCTTCCCGGCGGGGGTCGGAACAGGGAGAAATAAAGCAGGGGCAGGTGGAGACCAGAGAATGACTCTTGCTTCTTCTAAATGAGAGACTTGAAATCCTGTCTTCACGGGCGACCACGGCAAACTGGCCATCTGCGTCGCAGGAGTGTTAGGTCTCCTCCCCCGTCAGAGCGACACCGGGGCGGGCGGGCCCCACGTGAGCCGTGGAGCCTCCCCGGGGAGCAGCCTGCTACCTCCTGGGCTTGGCAGTTCGTGACCTGCCTTTTGGGGGACATATTCTGGGGATAGGAAGAGGGCAGCAGTGGTCCCAGCGGAGTCCCCTGCCCTTGGAAGCAGACCCCAGGTTTAGGGGGCTGCCCCTGGCTCCCCCAGCTGGGTGCTGGGCCCCGTCAGCCTGGGACGTGGCCTTTCTTAGGGAGGGACGAGGAGGGAGACCCTCTGTCCTTCCGGCCGGTCAGCCTCAGGGCAGCCCCTGCTTCCGGAGTGTTTTCCTGGGACCACGGGGGGCGGTGGTTGCTCTGAAATGTGTCGGACTCGAGCGCTAAATCATTCCCGAGGCCTCTGCCTGGGGCTGCAGAATCCCCGTCTCGCTCACCCCTCATCCGCACGCCCGCGCTCGGCCTGGCCCCTCGGGAGGCCACCGTCAGGGCGACCGGACTTCCAGCAGCGCAGCGCGCCCCGCATTAGAGCACGGATCTCCTCCTGTTACCCGATTTCCAGAGAGAAATTCAGTCTCAAAGGCTGATAACCCGTGTAAGCTCAAGTCCAGACCCAAACTTCTTTCCTGTTCCAGCCCAGACGTTGCAGCGACGTGCTGTTACTGCGCGCTGTCTCCTCGGGCCGCGCCGGCCTCTCGGGGCCCGGAGTCCCCTCGGCCCCCGCGAGCCTCTGCCGGCCCACGCCCCTCGGGAGCACGGCGCTTAGCAGGACCCACAGGCCTGTCACTCAGGCTAGAGAGCACGCCCTGCCCGGGCCCTGTGGCCGTCACCCCGGGAGAGCCGCCCGTCACGCTGCCAGGCTCCCAGAGGGACCTCGGCTTCGCCGCCTCTCGGTCGTGCCTCGCCGACGTGACGGCTGGGAGCCCAGAGGCTGTCCCTTGGAGCCACATGGGAGAAATCTGCCAGGAGGAGTTGGGGCTGAGCCTGCACGTTTCCCACGTCTGGAGAAAAGACCCGTGTTCCCTCGTGGGCATTTCTAGTTCAGTGCCACGTGGTGGCCGCCCCTGCTCTGGGTAGGCTGTGTCGTGCCAGTGCGTGCGCCCGAGTGAGACACGGGGAGCGCTGGCCGCGCCGGGAGCGGGGGCCCTTCCTGTTGGCCCCCCGCCTCGGAAAACCGCCGCGGGCCGGAAGGCCAGCCCCTCAGCCCCGCGCTGGCACGGGCACCCCCCGCCCCGGCAGATCCAGAGCCCGTGGCACTGCGGTGCGGCTGCCCTCTCCCAGGGCCTCTCCCGGGGGTCGCCAGGGCCACCTGCCCCGTCGACCCTGCACTAGGTCTGGAGCCTCCAGGTGCCGTGGGCACGTCCCCTCCGAGGAGCGCGCCTGCCTGGTCTGCCGTCCGGAAACGTTGCCACCAAGTGTTTCCCAAGTCACGTCAGGCGGCTCCCCACCGCCCTCCTGGGCCCTGATTGCGGAGTGGCATTTGGGGAGGGGCAGCTGCTCACACGCTGCCTTTGCAGACTCGCCCCCAAACGTGAGGGGCGACACGCCCTCGTGCCCCCTGCCGTGTGCAGGCACCCGCTGTCCCCGATGTGACAGCGGCAGGTGCGTCCCCCACTGTCCACATGCTAGGAAGGCTCCAGGCTGATGCCCTTGCACGTGTTCGTGCTGGGCCTTAGCCTCCGCTGGCAGCTACAGCTGCCCCTGGCCCCGCCCTCCCTTTAACTACGCAAGGCCCCTGCGGCCACGCCGGCGTCGCCCCCCGGGGACGAGCTGGCCCAGCTCTGCCTGCAGCAGCCGTGCGAGCCGCAGCCCCCAGGAGCTCAGGCCCAGGGTGCAGCCATAGTCCTGGTCGCCCCGGGCTCTGAGCTCGCCCTTTGTGCCCTCATGGGTCTCGGTGCCCCACTAAAGAACACGCTGCAGCCTCCTGTGCCAGCCCCTGGGGCCGCTCTGACTGGTCACCCAGCTGTTCTCTCTCCCTGCCCTGGAGGTCGGGGTCTCGTGGGGCTGCCGGGGGCTGGCCGTGTCCTTTGCAGAGGCTCCAGGGGTGAAGCTGTTCCCCGGCCTCTCCAGCCCGCACACGTGGCACCGGCCGTTCCTCACCCTCCCAGCAGCGGGCTGGAGGGCCTGCTGGTGCCGTCGTGCCTGACACGGCTCCCCTGCGGCCCCCTGCTACCCGGATGGCCCCGGGCCACTTGGGCGCCGGGATGATCCAGGGGGCCTTGCGCGTGCGTCGGTCAGCCAGCAGCCATGGTTCCCTTTGCCAGGTTCCAGGGCTGGGCCGTGGGCACTGGGGGTTTGTGTGCTGCCGCCCACACCGCCAGCGGGTGTGCGCCTGTCCCTGTCCGGGCTCTGAGAAGGCCCGGGCGCTGGCAGAGGCACCCGGAGGCCGTCGTGCAGGGGGCTGGGGCGGGGGAGGCGCCGCCATCCTCTGCGGCCGAGCTCTGCTCTTTGTGATGACTGTGCCTGCCAAGGGGCCGCCGTCCCTGCGCGCCCCCGCCCCTGGGACCTGGTGCCTGGTGCCTGGTGCCGGGCCCTCTGAGCCGACCTGGGCGGCAGAATCGCTGCTGCCTGGTGCTGGGTGGCGAGGCCACGGGGCTCCTGGGCCGCAGGCCGGGCTCCTGCTGCGCCTGTCCGACCTGCCCGCCCGCCTGCTTTCCCGCCTCTGTCCATGAGTGTCTTGGCCTGAGTGCGCTGGGAGTGGCCACCCGTCCACTCCCTCTCCACCCAGGGACCCTGTTGCTGGCCCTTGGGTTGCTGGCGTGACGTGGTGCTGCCTGCACTGGGCTCGGGTGCCGCTGTGTGACCGTCCCTCCACGGGGCCGTGCTGTGTGCACGCTGCCCAGGTGTCTGTCTGGGTCCAGCAGACGCTTCCCCTAAATGAGCTATGGCTGCACAGCCTGCGTGTTGTATTTCAGTGGAAGTGTCTGCGTTCACGCAGAGACGTGCCCGTTAAGTGTTCCTTTGGCGGGCACGCTGACCTTCTGACGTCAGGCAGGTTGCACCTGACCTCGCAGAGTCAGATGTGCTTGGCACTGCCGTGGGCGCGCAGCAGGGTGCCGCACAGGCCCGTGCCGGTTGGTGAAGCTGCCCTCCCGTGCCCTCCGCCGGAAGGGTGTCTCGTGGCTTTGCATGTGATGCTCGTTGTTGTTTTTCTGCAGGACAACTACACCTTTGCCCAGCCGGGGATCCAGATGAAAGTGAAGATGCTGGAAGAGCTTGTCAGCCGGATCGATGGTAGGAGCCCCAGGGCCGTCGGAGCGGCCAAGGTGCCGCGGGCAGGGCCCCGCCCTGTGTGGGGGTGCCGGGGACAGGAGGCCTCCCCGGGCAAGGGGTCGAGTGCCCGCAGGCAGGTGCCCTCGCTCCCCGCCGGGCCTGGCGGCCGTCCTGATCCGGGCGGCAGGGGGCTGTGTGCGGCTGTCCTTGGGCCCCCTGTCTCCTGCCTTTTGTCTCATGTTGCTGCCAAGGATGCTGGCGTGATCTCTCCTTGGAATCCAATTAATTACCAGGTCTGGAAATAACATCTTTCATATTACGGAGAAATTAAAGCATGGGCTCCGGCCGTCGTAGATGATGCTTTCATGTTGAGGGGGCTTTGCGGTGCCTTCCACCTTCGTCCCCACAGCCACCCTCCCGCGGTGCGCTGCCTGTCATATTGCAGCAGCAAACTTTAATTAAGTGAGTGGAGAGAGAGTGCGGCCCGCTCCAAGCCTATTCTCCTGGCGGTTTGTTAAATTAATGAACAGAGCATTAGCGGAGAGATACGGCGCAGACCCAGGCATGGGTTTGCGGCACCAGCCGGCCAGCGGTGCGGTCCAGAGAAGGGAAGTGGTCTTGCACGAGGAGCCCCGGGAGAGCTCGGCAGATGTCTCACTGAATGCACAGAAAGTGGCGCACTGCTGCCCTGTGGGTGGGAGGCCCGCGCCCACGCCTCCCCGCTGCCGAGCTGGCTTGTGCCCGAGGACGGCCTCGCAGTGGGTGTCTGCACGAGGGGGCTCGGTCTGGGGGCACCGACCGACGCAGCCCAGGCGCCGTGCCGATCCGGGCTCCCCCTCGTTCCTCCGTGGAGTCTGGCTTTAACTACACGTCTGAGCGTTGTTACTCAGTTTCCACCCCGCGGTGAAGTGTTATAGCTCTTCCAATGATACTCACTCAATTCAGCACCTTTAGCTGCTTTCCAGCCTGTCTCCTCAAATGCTGTCTTTTGCTTACGTAACGGCATTGATGTACATTTGTTGCTATCTTCACAGTGAGATCTTTCTTTGATTCGTTGGACAGTTTCCCGACCAGCAGCTTCATACTGTTCCCCAGCCCCCTTTAGTTCTCCAGAATACGATTTGCGGGGACGTGAGTTACGCCACTGCGTTAGTGGCTCACCCGTCCCCTCATGTCCTGGGAGGCAGGCCCCCGCCTGCGTGGAGGTCAGGGAGGTGTGGCGAGCGCTCCTTCGCTCCTGGGCTGCAGTTTGGGACAAGGTTGGATGGCTCTGCTCTGCCCCGTGTGGTGCGGGTGATGCGCACCGCAGGTCTGCTGAGGGTCGCCGGCGAGGCACTGTGGCGGCCCCAGGGTCCCCCCCGCCCCCCGGGCCTGGGCTGTCAGTCCCTCACACCGGCGTTTGTGGGCAGCCTGTGAGGACGGCAGCTTCACCCTGCGGGTTTCCGTTGAATTGCCAGCCCCTCCCCACCCCGAAGAGGCTTGGTTGTAGCGGCTCACACTGCATGATGTGTGTGTTCCCCCGTGAAGCCTGAGGGGCCTTCTGTGCCGGCCCCAGCGTGGAAGGGGCCGGTGCGCGTGGCAGGGGACCTGCGGGCGGGGCAGAGTCTGGGCTCGTTCTGGCTGCTGGGGGCTCTGGCCGCAGGCCTCCGGTGCATGGAGTCCCCTCCCCCAGTTCAGCAGTCACCTCGTGGAGCAAGAATTTGTGGGCTTGGAGCCTTTCCTGGGACTGTAAAGGTTTTATTAAGAGCAGGACAAGCAGGGAAGAAAAAATTGGTTTTAAAAATACCACTGCCTCATTTCTGCACTTCTGGGGAAGAACAGCATTTATCTCAGAACTTTTTGGCACTTTGATGAGGAGCACACCTTCGTGGACTAGTTAAGAAAGGTGAGGTTTCGTGGGCACAGCCCAGGCGGCGCTAGTTTCAAAACGAGTGAAGCTGCTCTGCAGGGCCAGGCTGCAGCGCGTGGGCGCCCCGCGGGAGTGTGGCGGGGGTGCGCCGGGGCGGGGAGGGCACCGGTCTCGGGGGACGGGCGGCAGCACGGGCGATCAGAAGAGGGGCAGCGCCACCGTCTCGTTTTCCTGGTGGGGCCGATGGCCGAGGGGTTCCTGAGAGGCCCTTCCAAGTGGGAGAGGTGGTTTTGGCAGCCTCGTGGTGCAAGCGGGTCGCGGTCCCCAACCCTTTTGGCACCAGGGACCGGTTTCGTGGAAGCCAGCTTTCCCATGGCCGGGGCGGGGGGACAGGGGGCGGGGCTCAGGCGCTCACCTCCAGCTGGGGCGCCTGTTGCCGCCTGGCGGTTGGGCCCCCGGCCCCGGGCCGGCCCAGACCGGGAATCTGAGCACCGCCCCGTGCCCGCCGAGGCCTCGCAGAGTGACCTGCAGGGCGGCATTGGAGCGAAGCAGCTCTCCCGGAGTCCTGGGACTGAGGCTGGTGGCAGCAGGTGGCCCAGTGCTGTCCCAGTCCGGGTGTGGCGTTTGTGCGGAGTGCTGGGGGCGGGGTGGGGGGCGGGAGAGGGCGGCGCGGGCGCCTCTGCCCCCGGGAAGCGCCCGACCGCACTTGTGTCCCCGAGCGGCGGCGCACGCTCTCTGTCTCCTGTTTTTCTGTGGCCTGTCCCTGGCAGGCTGCCTCCCAGCCCCCGTGTCTCTCTCCGGCCGTCTCTTGACTTGTTAACACCACTGCCCGTTACATTCTTAGATTTGGTTGTCATGGTTTTCAATTGCCAAAGTCCCATTCGATCACGTTTCAGATCTGTAATGAAGAAAAACCGTGTGGCTTCCTCCTCCCCTGCACACAGGTTCTGGCTCCTCTTTTTTTCATTTCTTCTCTCATGAGGAAGGATAACAGTTTAATGGCAAATACTAAAATTTACAAAATCTGAACATTTTGTGGCTGGTTTCTGCTTTCTGTTTTCTCACTCAAGGACCTTGAGTGTGCGATAAACTGCGTGCAGGCTGTTCTCTTTGAACCGTAAATGCATGCATGTGCGTATCTGTGTGTGTATCTGTGTGGGGGGGGGTTTGCAAAAGCCTCTTGCCAGGCGGGTGTCTGTCGCGAGGGCCCGGCCTGGCACCGGCTCCCCGCTGCCCCCGGGAGGCCCGTCGGCGTGGGCGGCCCTGACCGAGCCCGGCCGGCCAGGGTGGCGGTGGCCGTCGTTTCTGAGGTGCCCACTTTCACCCCCACATGAGCAGAACGCCGGCTTCCCTCATGGGGACTGGCTCGCGGCTGTGCACTTGCCTGCGTGTTCCCCTTTCCTGTGCATTCAAATTTAGGTTCAGTGCAGTTTTAATGACGCTTTTCTGAAAGCTGTCTGACTACAGTGTAAGGTTAAAATTAACTTATTCTTTCAAGAGGAAATTCCGTTACAGCCGGTAAACTAGGTTCGGCTCTGTTGTCGCCCGAGTGGAAATGTTTTTATTGCTTCTGCGAGGTGAGCTGCCGGAGGTCAGAGACTGCGCCGGCGGCCCCGCTCCAGCCGGAGGACGTCCTGCGAGCCGCCGTGAGGACACAAGCTCCCCTCCCCGCATGTCCCTATCCTGCCCCGTGACGGCTGGCGGGAACATCGGGGAGAGAGCGGGTCTCTCAGGCGACACACGGACCCGGTGGCCGGCGGGCGTGCAGGCTGTGGGCCACGGCTCCGTCCCCAGGACCTCCTGCTCAGGGCGTGCGGCATGGCCGTGGCTCTGTATTCCTGCGGCTTCAGTCGCCATGCCCCGCAGAGCCCGGCCGGGTCACTCGGACGGCGGAGCCTCCGGCCCGTGCTGCCTCCAGGACCCAGCGCTGTCTGTCTCAGCGGGAGCCCTCACGCCCGCACCGGAACCGCAGGGGCGTTTTGTTGCATGTGTTCCAGGAGGGGTGCACGCGTGATCCAGTGTGCGTGCGCACACACGTAAGATCAGAGGACAGGAGGGAGTTCGGCGTCATGCAAACAGAACGTGTGAGAGGAACAGCCGCCCTGGTCCCTGCCCAGCCCCTGAGCTTGGCGGTGGCCGCTAGGTGCCTGCGGTGGGCCAGGCGGGGCCCTCAGTTCCTCACTGGCGTGGTGGCTGACCTTTCACCACCACCTGGTGAGGTGTGTGTTTACGAGCCCGGCCCCTTCTCTGGCCTCGGTTTCCCCACAGGCTGGGTGGTCTCCATGTGGCCTCCAGCTCCGTGCATCCCAGTTGGCACTGAACACAGCCAGCCCCGCTGCCCACTCCCGCCCGCTCGGGGTGGGGCGGGGTCCTGGGGGCCCCGCATGCCACCCGGCCCTGCCTGTGCCCAGGACGTCCTCGGGAGCCGCGGCCTGCAGCCTCCCCATGGCAAGGCCCGCCAGACCCGCCCCCGCCACCGCAGTTCCTTGGGGGACTCCTGCTGGTCTCTTGCGCCTCCAGGTGTCTCGCCCTCCATGTGGCCCTGTGGGGGGGCGGGCGTTGAGAGCATGGGGCGCGTCCTGTTAGAGGAACGAGTGCGCTCCCCCTGCTCGGCCCCCAGGCAGCGCAGTGCCTGTGCGGGGCTCACACGTGCGGGGGTCGGCGGAGTGGCGCTGCGTCTGCGCCCTGCGTGCCAGGGCTCCCGCAGCGGCGGCGGCTCTGGGGGCTCCCGTGTGCTCTGCAGGGCGGCCCCCGGCCCTCCCTGCTCCCCTGCTCCGCCTCCTCTGGGCCTGGCTGCGCCCCGGCCCCAGGAGCCCCTGCCCAGGTTACGCTGGTGTCCGCTTTCCTCCCGGGCAGGGAGGGGGGTTTATTTCCAGAGCCTGAGGGACAGCCCTCTGTCCTTGTGGCAACTGGTAGGGTCCCGAGAGGGCCTCGGCTCTCGGCCACAACTCACCTCCCTCGCGGGATGGGGGTCCAGCCGTCTCGAAGACCCCACACAGGTGCGAGGCGGGGCCGCGGGGCCGGCGGAGGGGCAGAGCTCCGCCCCTTTGCCCTGTCCTCCCTGGAGCTGCCCCGCCATGCTGCGCAGGGTGGGCTTCGGCCGCCCTAGTGGGTGCGTGGGCACAGTGGGCAGCGGCAGCGGCTGTCCCGGGAGAGGCCCGTGGGTCGTGAT